CCGTCTGTTTACATTTCGTATGTATAATAGCCGCAGTTTACGATTACCGTACGTTCCGTATCCGACAAGGCGGACAAGCGGAAGAGTCAGAAGTAACCTGGACATGTCTTACATTTTATTATTGTCAGTTCGACTCGCGTAGTCAATATACTCGCGTATATTGTCGACTAGAATAGTAGAACTATTTTGACTTTCTAAAGTACGGCGCACGGTGCATTTTTTTACCAGCATAGTACGGCGCACCGCACAGGTCGTTAAAATGACAAAATAAATTCCCGCGCAACTGGCACATCTTCCTGACCATGGCCACTACACCATCAGAAGCAAGTAGCAACACAGTGGCAAAGCAGCAATTTTTTTAGACTCTTCATCAAGTTCATTTTTGAGTCCTATAAGTAGACAAGGAAAGTATCTTGGATACCAGCATTTTCATACTTAAGAAATTGATTAAAATATTGAGTAGATGAGGAAATTAAAAATGAACTGATTCTAAAAAATCTCTGGTTTGCCACTATGAGTAGCAACAACCTCATCATCCAGACAATTACTTATCATTACATTTTCCTTACCACCATCTTCTGTGCTTCCACTAATTTCAGGAGGACCAAACCCTGCACCAGCAAGGCAGCTGGGATCACTCATGTTGGAAGAGTTCAACTTGCCCAATAAACGAAAACAAACAGCAACAAATTAACAAAGAGGAAATAAATAAAAGGGAAGAAGAAAAGAGGAAGAAAAAAAAGTAAAAAAATAGAACAAATAAAAATAATAATAAAATAAATAAAAATTCAAAAAATTCAAAGCAGACTGGCAAACCTCAGAGGGCAGAGGCCAGAGGGAGAGAGCCAGTTGCGTGTTGCGTCTGAATGAATTTATTGTAGGTTTGAGCAAGGGATTACAACTAAATCTGAATATCTATAGCTTCAAAATTCGCCGGTTATTTCAAGGAACGAAAATTACACACGTGCTTTCGCCACGAACGCAACTGACTTTCTCCTGAAGGCGCTGAAGACGCTGAAGTGCGGAACATGTGGCGAATAATGGATCGATCGAATGCGGCGGAAAATCGGGCGATTCCGTAATTTTAGAAGCAGACACTGCAATAGCATATCACCAATTATATATAAAACACTGGTGTCAAATGAAATGAAAATCTCGAACCATAGCGTTTGAGGCAGATATACCCGTTCTCTGTTTAAATATGTTAAACGATTAATCACCTATCATTTCAAATGAAACCTTACGATCACTTCAGGTTTCACAGGTTCAACGTTGATATCTCAGAGATTTTTCAACCTAAAGAGTTCGGAGTGATGAAATAAGGTGAATCAATCACTTATTCAATATAAATCATCACTCCGCACTCGACCACAGCATTTAGCACTCGCCAATTGTGCTTAGCGAAAAACGACCTCTTACGGTTTTACTACTTCAACGCTTATATCTAAAAAAATATTCAACCCAGAGAGTGCGGAGTGATGAAATAACGTGAATCAATTAATTATTCATTGTAAATAATCACTCCGCACTCGAGCACAACATTTAGCACTCACCAATAGTGCTTAGCGCAAAACGACCTCTTACGGTTTAACTACTTCAACGCTTAAATCTCAGAAAATATTCAAACCAGAGAGTGCGGAGTGATTATTTACAGTGAATAAGTAATTGATTCACGTTATTTCATCACTCCGCACTCTCTGGAGCGAATATTTTCTGAGATATAAGCTTTGAAGTAGTTAAACCGTAAGAGGTCGTTTTGCGCTAAGCACTATTGGCGAGTGCTAAATGTTGTGGTCGAGTGCGGAGTTTTACTGATAGTGCTGTGTGGTGGTGTAAATTAAAATATGATTGATTGATTTCCGCCTTGTTTATATAAGATGCTTTCATAGTCGTAAGATTCGACTGTTCAAACCAAGATAAGGCAATGAGTTTAATTGTATGAACATGAGTATAGTGCCGTTTTGAGCATATGTTATTTGTCAGATTTTTTATTTATTTTTTTTTTATTTGTAGAACACAAAAAGGAGATATGCGTAGTTTGAGTGCTTAATTTCTCAACATAGGATAATGAGAAACGTTACTTTACTTCTTGGCAAATTCGCGGAATTCGTTCAGCCGAGGCGCTCCATCGATCAATCGTTCGCCACTTCAGCGACTTCAGCGTCTTCGGCGTCTTCAGCTTTCAAGTGTTACCCATGGAAAAATTTTCCCCATTTATAAATAGTATTATCATAACGTCGAAATCCCGCGTTCAACTTCATCGTGCATTGCTTTCCAAATTCAAAGTTAGTTTCATCATCACTGCCACTGGTAGGCTGAAATGCTGAATCAAGACGTCCTGAAATCAAGACGTCTTTATGCACCGCATAAAGAAGTTCGTTCTTGGGCAACAGCAAGCTTTTGTTGCCTTGGAGCCAAATACTGTGCTCGCACTTGACGATGATGCGGTTACTTGCGGAATCAAACTATTCACCAGTGCAGTGCTTCAGCAGCATCACGGCGTTCAGAAAGCCCATGCCTCACCAGTAATGTCTTCAGAAATATAAGCCTGCCAAATGATGACACGAATTCCGATTGCTCTGTGGAGGTTCCAGAAAATGAGGAGGAAGCTTTTAAATATGTTCTCGGGTTCATTGCTCACAAGTTCCCCCAAGTTTCTTCAAACCTTGCCGATTCCGGAAGTTGGATAGCGCACGTGAGCAAAGGTGGCCTCACCTTCATGAAACCTGAGCTAATCCCTCATTTCAGAGGTTTTGAGTGTGCCTTCAGACAGCACCATGGTGTTTAAGCAACGTTGATAAAACCTACGATATACCTCAAGAAATAGTCAGAATTTACGAATAAATGACTCAACAAGAAACTACAGCTACAAAGTTCTCGGTCCACTCTTGAAAAATTGAACAAACTTGCTAATTAGGTAAATTGACTCAAATTGTGCTTGAGGCTCTTTAGACGCGATCTCACAGGGACCGAATGCCTTACTTTCTATAGCGCACAATGTGCTTGTACCTGGATATTATTCCAATATGCGTTGGTCACAGAGCAGCAAACAACCCTTTCTGCCTCGAATCTTACATTGAAAATGTGTTCGTTAGTATTTTTTGGTACAAAGTTAATCGGTGTTCGGAATTGTGAAAAAGTTTGTCGTAAGATCTTTTGTAAGCATTATTCTAATGCATCTGCAATTTGCCTTGCTCAAATTAAAAGGTATATACGCGATCACCTCTGAAGAATCACTCGTATTATTTATCAGTTAAATAAATTTTGCTTAGAATGAGGTATCGTCAAGAACGGAGCATCAAGACGTTTTATTAAATAAACCGGTAATTAAGTCTCGTTATCATACCTCGGTGTTCACGATAATTCTCTACTAGACGAAACAGTAAAGCAGAACAAATCTTTGTTAACTATTTAGGTTGTTCCCACTAGTTTGTTACATTTACTATTCACTGTACATTTCGCTCTATAGGTTGATTATCGAGACGCTTTCATATGAATAGTTTTAAATCTTTTAAACTTCCAAAAGTTTGGGTTTTTCATCCACTGGCATAGACCAATGGACTCATTGATCACCTTTGTTGTTTCCCAACTTTTTGGCGCAACTGCTGGAATAAGTTCTAGTGTTACGAGAAATACAAATACTTCGTTATGAATAAAAAGTCTTTAACTTGGTACTATTTATTATGACCCACAGCGAGATATACACGTACTGCAGCATGAAAACGTTTCAAGATGACAAAACGTACCACACAAGGTTTAAAAGCGAACTGGTCAAGCCAATTGTAGAGATACCACTGTCCAAAGGTCATGTTACTGCACAACCCTCGTAACATGAACATCTTTTTACTAAGTTGCATTGAATCATAATAAATGAAGTGTTAGTCGCATATAAGAACAGTTTCGTTTTCTCGAAAATAAGTTGTGCATATGAAGAACCTAAATGCTCAAAAAATGTTAGTAATAGCTTCTTGATGGTTATGCGGAAACTATATGGTAGCTCGATGGAAAATCTTGCAAGTCAACTTTCCGGGAAGCGCTTGCATACTCTGGGACGGTGTAAACGATTTAAGAACATCACAGATTTCGGCTTGTTCAAAGCATAGAACGGTCTACATTACAGCAGCTTCACTGATGTTTCGATGGCAATAAAGGTGGAGGCGACCACAGACAGCACCTTGAGCCACAGTGCTCCACGCTCAGAAGCTGGACGGGCCAAGCCTTGAGCCACAGTGCTCCACGCTCAGAAGCTGGACGGGAAGAAACAGTAGTGGTACACATACATCCTTGTGTGTGGGACCAAGAGCTTCTGTGGTTTGCCTTAGGTGTAGCGATCAGCAGGCTGAAGTGAGGTTCATCTTCCTGGGTTTCTTTACAGTCACAGCCAAACCTGAAAAATAAAATGGTATGAAGACAGATAATTCAAAGTTACAAATTTAAACTATTCAGTCTAGGCAATTTGTGTGGACTCCATTCATTCATGAACTACTGCATCATGCAATAAATGTATCTTAATATGAACAGATATAAATTATTCTTGCAAAGGGCGGTAAAAAGAAACTAGGACGTTCACATAACAATCCCAAACTGTACAGCAATTCATGGAACAATATTATATCTAGCTAATAATGAACTCAGAATGTCTCTGAAAGTATGGTTCCACTTGAAATTTCATACATTAGTCACCTGCACTTAACACGTTAAGTGCGACACGACCCACGTTTCAGGCAGATGGCCTAAAAACGGCCAGGTCCGCAGAAAAAAGGCCCACAATTCAAAATATACTAGTAAATATGAAGGTTACGGTGCAAAAATTAAATTTTCCTTCTTTCCTTGCTTTTTAAAATTTAATAGAGTCGTACTGCCATCATAAATTTATGTCGACAAGCGCAATTGAAAAAAAACTAAATTGCGGAATTTATCTGAAAAAAGGGCCTGCAACTCACCGGTGGGTCGTGCCGCATTTAACGTGTTAAAATAAACACTTGAAAAGTTTCCCACTGACTCAATTTTTGGTAATATGATATCATTTGGCATGGAAGTCACTTTCATAAATTTGATTGATCTACCAATAAAATGCTGAATAGATGCATGAATGGATTTATGAAACAAATTCAATTTTTCCCAGTTGATAAGCTGGACTAGGAGGGTTTTTGCTCTAAAATTTAATGATTTGATAACAAAATAATGTAACATTATCCAAAACTCAGAACTACTATTCTCATGCTACCATTACCCAACACAACATGTACTTCACAAATAAAACTGTCTGCCCATCTGCCAGGGTGAAGAATTTAAAAATTTGTCTCTACGTATATATTTGTCAGTCTAAGTCTGATAAAAGTTATGATATTGTAGCACTTATTAAGCTTTAATTGATACATTGTCCTAGTACTAGATTTTGCAATGTTTTTTTATACAATTTTTTTCCTTAAAAAAGTCTTGTAGAGCAATTAAGATTAAAAGGTGACTGACTTATATAGCTTTTTAACCCAAATTATTTTGAAACTTTTTTATGGTCTACAGACAGGTTTGAAATTTTCTTGTGGTTTTCGCAATATTGGACAATTAAAGTCGAATTATTAGATTTTGCCATTTCTCAAATATAGTCTCAATTCACGATTAATGCCCAAGCACCCTTGAGGCTATTTTATTGATAAAATTGGCTTAATGATTCATATAATAAATTAGGACTACTGATTAATGTCAGCTGTCAGTACAAGAGACTTAGGTAGAAGTTAGAGGGTCTTGTGTATTCTTAAATGATACAGATATTTTAAATGTGATTCAAAAATTAGTTTCATAAGACCAAAGAATGATATTCATTATAATTGGAATACATAATATAGCCACCAAATAAATTATTTTGTGACTGGGAATGTGAGTTCATAAATTCAAGATTGATGATCAATGAGCCAGCGTAGCTAGTAGCATGATCAGGCCCAAAATATTAGCTAAATATAAAGTAAAATTAATTACATATTCTTAGATCCAATATGATATGTGCACATCAGCACATGTTCATATATTACCCCTCCCAAATTCCAATTTGTCAGGCACCAAGTGCCAGGATCTAAGGATTCACAAATATTCTAATATGCAATCATGATGATTCTTTGTTTTTTGCCATATTGTCATCAATTATTTCATCATCAGTCATCAATAATGTTATTACTAACCTAGGTAAGGCAATAAGGCTGGCTATCCAGTAATTTTCATTAATTTATTAGCCACTGACCTAAACACAAAACCGTATTTTTATATAATCTATAGGCATGCCATGATGATGCCATTAACCTTAGCCCTTAGGTCACCGTCTTAGAAGCCCGCGCCATATCAAATACAAGGCAAGGATATGATATATTGTTAATCACTGAAACATGTACAATATAGTAGATAAACTGAGAAGTATCAGAATTAAACTGACATGATTAATTAAAAATAATTAGCAATCAACTCACTTGACAAAAGCGGGATTCGTCGAGGGAAGAGTATTTTTTTCTGGTCATCTTTCGAGATGGCTGAGATCTGTGAGGCACCCATTACGACCTCTCACTCTCTCAGCAAGTTTGCCCCGTTCGTTATTTCCAATTCATGGATTTTGCTCGACAAAATTTCTCAATAAGCTCTATATGCTTAGAGAGAGACTAGCTGGAGTACTAGAGTTTTTTATAAGTATTTTGAGGTCAATTTTTCTGAAATTGCTCTCAATTGCGACACAAAAACAACGTGTTTCACGACAGTATTTACATTTTGCGCCCACGGAGACGTCACAGTCGGAACAACAAACAACATCCGCAAAGAGCAGCCGCGCGTGGGTCAACCTTGTATTAATTCAACCATGGGTATGCCAGCTTCGAATCATCACAGCATGCCGGGATCTGAACCCGAGCCTAGCAGGGCAGCACTATCAAAAGTAGCTACGACCTCTAACTCCGTTGGCCAATCATTGACAGTATTTTACAATAAACCCACCAATCATAGACGGGAATTAGACGGCAACGTGCACTGCGGCCCCTACATGTACTTGAGCAGCTACGTGTACTGAAAAAGTTTTTTTCTTAGGAGGCCTCAGGCCCCTTCCGTAAAAGCATCATTTCACGCTCAACTCTTTGAACAAATGCACTAGATTTAATCTCCATCTTGATGATGGAGACAATCATGCAGACCTATCCAATGCCACTCACTTGATAATGAAGCCAATCTTGTGGAATTATTCACTTGGTGATGAAACCATTCCTGCGAATTTATTCACTGCCACTCACTTAATGATAGAGCCAATCCTGCGGGATTACTCACTTGATAATTGAGCCAATCCTGCGGAACTCAGTGGCAGGATCGGAGTCTGCGCGTCTGTGGGTGTGGGGCAGGGGTGACGGGGTGCCCAGGCTGAAGCTGTGCAGGGAGGGAGGCGAGCGCTAAGGCCGACACGGGCGTCGACGAACAAAGGCGAGTCACTTTGTTCTGCATGCCTTTGAACACCTGAACACCGAGCAACATTGAACTATCATTGGTGAACACACAAAAAACACACAACAAATAACTACAATAAGCCTCTAAGTCTGGCGAGATGCGACTTGTTCTTAGATAACTCATATTTATATTCATAATAATAATTATTTGATATTTTGGTATTTTATGTTCTCTAACGCCTGAAGACCAAGGAAAATTGAACTATCATTGGAGAACAAACAAAGAATGTACAACAAATTAGTAAAATAAGAGAAATGATACCTATAATGGGAGAAAATAGGATGAGCCTCTCAGTCTGGCGCGATATCCAACTTGTTCTTAGACATTTATTTGATATTTTGGTATTGTGTGTTCTCCAACGCCTGAAAAGCAAGGAACAAGGATAGGGGAACTTTGAATTACCATTGGTGAACACACAAAGAACACACAACAAATAAATACAATAAAGGAAATAAGAACAATAGAAGAAGACACTATACGAAAACAAATGAGCCTTTAAGTCTCACACAAAACGACTCTCTCTTGGACGCATTTCACTATTTATTATATGCTCTTGAACACCTGAACATTGAGTAACAAAGAGAGGTTAACATTGAGCTGCAATGGGAGAAGAAACTATGAACATACCTACAATTGGCGAAAATAAATGAACCCTTCAGTATCAAGCTACACGACCCACTCTAATACTCGCTCCGTCTTGTGTTGTACGTTCACGAACACCTGAACAGCGAACAATAAATCTAACATTGAACATCTGTGTGAACTATTACCTGATGATAAAGGCAACAATTAAGGAATTAAGAAGAATTAAACGAATTGCGGCAAACTTTAATTCGACATCGATCAGAACTTATACAAATGGAACAAAATGTTGCTACTTAGAAATTGACAAAAATAAGCTCCTCTCAAAATAATATCATAAGCAACAAAATGAAAAAAAAAATGTTTATTTCACTAACAAATAATACAAACAAGGCGCTAGTACAATGTCAAGAGGCTCACAAAAACGACTGAAATAACCCCAGGATCGAAATGCACTACCTAAACTTTCGTAGTAGGAAAAAAATTACAGACCTCACTGGACAGGAAATTATACAAAAATACGACAAGAGTCACATGGAAAAAGTATGAATAATAATTAGTTTAAAGGCTAAGGGTTAAACTCTTACGTCGATGAGCATGTGGTGCAGCGGCAGGGTGTCTATGGGGGCGATCTTGCCGTGCAGGTCCAGCGCAGTTTCCAGCAGGTTCGTCTGAAGAACATCACGCACGTTAAGTTTTTTTTGAGTACAACAGCTTAAAGTAGACTTTATATAAGTTATTAGAGAATAATGTTATGATCCTGTAGTGAGTAACTATTGTCGGACTACATAGGTACAAGTGTACCTTCATCATTGCGATTATTACATCGTACATCACTAAGTGCGATTATTACATAGTAAAATCATTTAGCCTCAGAAGGGTTGTTCTTGCAGTGAGGATAAACTAGTGATGTAAAATGTTTTAATTTTAACTTACGAGTGTGACGAGATGAAGTTTAAGCTGGCCCACCCAGCCCGCATGCTCGGGGTGCTCGCTGAGGTAGTCGGAGGTGAAGAATGCTGACAAATACATCGCGATGCCACCATTCACAGCTGCATCAATGGCTCCCTTCAGCAGCATCGTGAACGGTTGAATGTTGTCCTGTAATTCAAAGATTACCACCAATGAGAAAAACAGTACATTAAACTTGTAGTGAATTCCCCTTCAAATTGAAATGAATTTGCAATTTGAACTTTACCCCTTAATGTCATCACAAAGACTTTTAAGCAAGGGCTTTTTCCCATAGAATAGAATAGAAGCGTCGGCATTGAAGAAATAGGCCCATGTAATCTACACAATAGAAAAGGCATACGCATTGAAATTATGTTGGAGGACAGACCTTGGGGTTAGCACGGTAGTGGCTGACGGTGTTCTTGATCTCCTTGGTGCGGTTGTGCACAGTCTCACACGCGTTCTGTGGGGGACAGATTTGCTCGACGCTCTGGTGCTCCACTTCAAACCACTTCAGGATGCCAGGCAGGGGCGAGCTGATCGTGTATGTGATGCGCTCGATCCACAGGTTCTGTGTGATAAGTTACAGATATACTTTCTGCATATTAATTTAATGGATTTATAAATTAGGGCAATGATTGAGTAGAGGCAGATTGTGTAAAGGCAATAGCTACGAGGTAAGATGGCAGGAGGTATGATATGTTACATTAGATCTACATGTACAAGCAGTCACAATCAGAAATCTTAAGCATGAGACTTCTTTACTAAAATAATTTTGAATTATTTTAAATAATAATTCAAATAATTTTGAATTATTTTAGCGGTACATCAAAACGGTAAAGAATGAACCTTGAACTCATTGTCCTTATCAGTATGGCCGCGAGCGTTAGGTCTGTTGTAGATGAACTTGTAGACGTTGTTGTTGTTGTAGTACTTGAGGACGCGCTCGTCGATCTCTACGCCTTCGAACTCCGGCCGTGGCTCCGGCACCGGCTTCACCGCACAGATCTTGAGGAAACAAGCAGCGAATTATTGAATATGGGCGAATAAAAGATACTTTTACTTTGAGAAAGGGTATATATCCGCAAGTCAAAAGTCAACTCTTAAATTTAAAAAGAGTATATTCGAAAGTCAAAGGTCAACTCTTAAATGTAAAAAGAGTACCTATATCCGTAGGTCAAAGATTAATCAATATTCAGTTCTTCCAATCTTAAATCACAAGGTTTCAATTAAATGCACAAAATTGAAGCTTTGATGGTAATCTTGTAATTAAGGCTTTGATGCAATTGCAAGCAGCGAGGAAAGCATTCACTGTTTTTACCCAAACTAAAAACTTAATTTTTTTCCTCCGATTATTTTTAGACCTTACGATGACCAAAGCAACAGGTAGCCAAAATTAGCTCTAGGGCACCGCCCACGGTCATGCTGAGACACCGCCCTTGTCGGCTATCAAGCTATGAGCGACATAGAGGAATTAACTGATCTTCCCGAGGCTCGAACCCACGGCTCATCTCGGCGCTGCTACTACAATGCTACAGTATCAATAACCTTCAAGTTACTAATCGCGTTGATGAATACCTGAATAAACTGGTCTGAAGAGGACTTGGTGGCGTCGTCAGGAGGCATGTTGTACGACAGCAACTTGGCTTGTGGAAATTCGCCCTGAATGCGCTCAGTGAACGCGCCGATTTGTTCGTATTCGAGTCCACGGTAAATGAACGCTTTGTTCTAGAACAAAGGATATCGATATATTAAAAAGATACTCTAAAGATGAAAAATTTCCATAGATCACACCTCGCTTTAAAATTTTCTACTTTCAAACACCTCAGATTTACTGTCAAGAAATTAGTACTCTTAAAAAATCATTATGATTGCTAAAGGTCTTTGGTACATACGTACTCCAACAGACAATTGCATGTCAATAATAGAGATCCACCAGATTGTTGATGCGCACTCACCCGAACAAAGAGTGGCAATCCCATGCCGTAGAAACCGACTCTGAAGTACTCATTATCATATCGCTTGCCGGTGAGTATTTGTTGGTAGAAAGAAGCCTGTATCTCGAGTACTTCGCTCAGGCGATGGTAGTCGAACAGTCGTCGGCGGTAGAGGTTGGCAAGCTCTTCCAGGAGGGGAATGCCTTCCTCCCAACACTGAAACATGATAATGTACTTTATAATCTAGGTATATATATTTATGATAAAATAAATATATGCGAACAAAAATATATTTATCATTACCACAATCTAGTTTTTCAACTTTTAACTAAATGAATGAACTATCAGACATATACGTATAATATAAAGAAATAAATATTTCGATAGGGTATTATAGCTACAGGTTATATACTTTTTTTACTTGCAAATTCATTCGGAACATGAAGCTAATCGTTGAACGTTCAATTTCTACGTCAAAAACGGACAAATGCAATAACGATGTTAAGAAAAGATTAACAAGCAACATTTTCCTGAAAAAAAGTAGGTAAAGATTACCATAAACGCTTGTATGGAGAAGAAAGTAGTGAGCTTTTCCTAAACGCTAATCTGGAACAGGAGGTAATGGGATCTAAATGTTGCCTGACCTTTCCTTTGTCGAAATAGAAGATTATTTTCTTGTAGATATACTCCTTGCGGGTTAGCTCTGTTTGTGCAGGATACAGCAGGTCAGCGTGCAGGACTCGGCTGCTCCAGTCGAGCTGGTTAGCGTGAAGCTGAAGCGTGAAGCC